TGTTTTGGGTTTTTTTGAATGTCCAGAGGACCAGATTTAACTTTTTTTAGATTTTAAATGAGAGGTTTTTATTTATTTGGTATCACTATGAAATTTGAGTTCACTGATGATAAAATAAAATAAAAAGTTATTATTGTTTATTTTGTGAACAAGGCCAATTTCTATTGACCGTGACTAATTTATAATAGCACTAAAAGCATAAAATATCTATGACTTTTTGTAGGCACATTTGAGCATGTCTATAATTTTGGTTCTTGGTGGATCAGAGAAAATGCAACAAAATAAATCACAATTAACAGTAGAATAATAGTAATTTAAAAAGGTTTTTGTTTGTTCAGGGAACAGATGGATGGTTTTATGTATCTGTGCAGATAAAGGCGAGCTATGATAGATAAATTTAATTTATTAAAAATGAAGCTGGTTCGCTGCAGATGGTTCTGCTTATTGAATTCTGGCCTTCTGGGATGACATTACACACATGGATTTGAAATGGTGCTGTTTAGGGATATGCATTAGCCTACATGTGATGTTTTAATAGCAGACTCACGCAGGCGGCCATAGTTAGCAGACTGCTGCTTGATGTGAAGATCTTCTGTAGATCTGTTAAAATTGGCTCCTTGGCCCTGACCTGGTCCTGGACCTGTTGCACCTCGAGCGGCTATGTTTCGACCTGACAAAAGCAAAGAAGCACACAGACAGCAACAAAGCAGCTGGAGGTGATGTTTCCCGTTCATTGAGCAGTATGTGCTCTGTCCTGATGAGCCAGGAAAATGTCAGCATCATAATGAACTCATCAAACATGAATGCGTCCCCTGAGGAGGAGATGAGCACTATTGGCTGCAGTCATTCACAGAAGGAGGGAAACATGCACACTGAAAGTCCAACCATGATGAAACTGCAGGTTAAACAGAATGAACCAATCACAGACACAGGAAGGAACATGTTCTCGGTTTGGTCTGCTGTCCAGCAGTTGTTCTGATGACAATGGCTCAGGAGGGGACACTCACCGGCAGAGGAGCTGGACTTGCCCATGTCAGCCAGCGAGCGATGAATGGGCTTCTTGGTCTGATGCCGATGCTTTCTCAGCAGCACAAAACTGATTTTGTCTCTGAGGTCAGGAGAGATCAAACCTTCCTCTATCTGCCTCTCAATGATGTCATCTGCATGGAAACATGAGGAGTTGAGAGAAACTGCCAGGAACATCCGTTATCTTTAACAATTCAATTTGTATTACTGTTTTAGTTCAGGATGAATTATGTTTCAAGTTAGCACACACACACAGAAATACGGACACACACACACCAAGAGTAACAGAGTCACATCGTTGTAATGTAAGTTTAAAGTCTACTTTAGCCTTCAGAGTAACTGTTTCCTGATTATTTATTTATTTATATATTTATTTTTATCCAAAACGCAACAATATATATATATATATATAATTGTTGCGTTTTGGATAAAAAATGTTGCGTTTTGGAGCTGACAGCGGGTCGTCAGTCACTGCAGCTAGCTACTGCTAGCCGGGCCTTAGGCTTCCTCTCTGACCCTGGACCCTCAGCCAGCCCCCACCGCTTCCTCCGGCTCGAATCTCTCTCAGAAGTGGCAACTCATACTAACAAATAAATCAATGAAACGTCCATTAAGTTTTATCAATTATATTAAAAAAGGCAGGAAAAGATTACAATTTACAGCGCTGGACTCTCCAGTCTGTGAAGCGTTCACAGACCCGGAAGAGCAGCCCCGATGTCCTGTGTCATTACTCATTTATAGGGTCCTAAGACTCCGCCTTCGTAGAAGGGGAGCTCAACCTATCAGTGTGTGAGGGGGCGTGGCTAAGTGTGATCTCAGTAGCTCTTATGTGGACTGACGTGTTAGTAAATATGAGACGGTGCTTCAAAAGCCTTTCTACGTGATGTGGCAAGCAGATTAAACTCTATTCTTTGACAGAAATTGAATCCCAGGGAGACTCTCTTTAGAGTTGCTGGCCCAGTTTAACCCAGTCAGAACCGGGTCAGAATTAAAAGTTGTTCTGTGTATTTATTAACTATTCTTTGACAGGTTGTCCAGCTCCATCCTGGTGCCGGATTAAAACTGTTAACCTTTAGTTTTTAGCAAATCATCTTTCATCCCCCATCTTTCTCTCTGCACTATGAATGATAGTTTTTGCTGACTAACTAATTTTTCTTTCAAATTTAAGCTTTGTCCAGTTGATTTTAAATGCCTGTACATAAATTGTTGTTTGTTTGTCGATGACATGCAAAGGATCCGATGTGACTGAAGGTTTAAAGCCCCATGTAAAAATTGTGATGTCATTTTTGCTGACGTTAGAATTTTTACTTGAAGCGTGCTCAGTCCAAAAGATGTTCCGGGTGTAATTGCCCATCACTGTTTACTAGAAACACATTAAAACTTGGACGTCTGGAAAGCGTCAAGACATGTGGTCATGTGACAGTTCGAAGAAAACTCTACTGGGTTTTTGGATGCCTGTGAGGAGATTTTGATAACTCCTTGAAAGAAGTTGATGACCTCGGGTTTCTGTTTATTATAGCCTCCTTAGGTCTGCAGTTGAAAACAGACTGGCCAGCAATACATCCCCGAGCAACATTTTTTCTTGCTCGATGCTGTGCTCCTGATACGGCAGACTACTAGAATAAACACCTGTATATGGATGATTCCTAGAGAGAATCTAGAGGAAGAATACCTGCAGATGACCATATGGAGATGTTATGGTTAAAGACAGGGATTGATAGCTTTTAGCAGTGATGGAAATGTGTTTTTATAAGTTGAGGGACAGACAAGAGCCTTAGTTAGGTAGGAATATGGAAATATAACATTGTACAGGTCCTTCTCAAAAAATTAGCATATTGTGATAAAGGTCATTATTTTCCATAATGTAATGATAAAAATGAAACTTTCATATATTTCAGATTCATTGCACACCAACTGAAATATTTCAGGTCTTTAATTGTTTTAATACTGATGATTATGGCATACAGCTCATGAAAACCCAAAATGCCTGTCCCAAAAAAATAGCATATCATGAAAAGGTTCTCTAAACAAGCTATTAACCTAACCATCTGAATCAACGACGTAACTCTAAACACCTGCAAAAGATTCCTGAGGCTTTTAAAAACTCCCAGCTTTGTTCATTACTCAAAACCGCAATCATGGGTAAGACTGCTGACCTGACTGCTGTCCAGAAGGCCATCATTGACACCCTCAAGCAAGAGGGTAAGACACAGAAAGAAATTGCTGAACGAATAGGCTGTTCTCAGAGTGCTGTATCAAGGCACCTCAGTGGGAAGTCTGTGGGAAGGGAAAAGTGTGGCAGAAAACGCTGCACAACGAGAAGAGGTGACCGGACCCTGAGGAGGATTGTGGAGAAGGGCCGATTCCAGACCTTGGGGAACCTGTGGAAGCAGTGGACTGAGTCTGGAGTAGAAACATCCAGAGCCACCGTGCACAGGCGTGTGCAGGAAATGGGCTATAGGTGCCGCATTCCCCAGGTCAAGCCACTTTTGAACCAGAAACAGCGGCAGAAGCGCCTGACCTGGGCTACAGAGAAGCAGCACTGGACTGTTGCTCAGTGGTCCAAATAACTTTTTTCGGATGAAAGCAAATTTTGCATGTCATTCAGAAATCAAGGTGCCAGAGTCTGGAGGAAGACTGGGGAGAAGGAAATGTCAAAATGCCAGAAGTCCAGTGTGAAGCACCCACAGTCGGCGATGGTCTGGGGTGCCATGTCAGCTGCTGGTGTTGGTCCACTGTGTTTTATCAAGGGCAGGGTCAATGCGGCTAGCTATCAGGAGATTTTGGAGCACTTCATGCTTCCATCTGCTGAAAAGCTTTATGGAGATGAAGATTTCATTTTTCAGCACGACCTGGCACCTGCTCACAGTGCCAAAACCACTGGTAAATGGTTTACTGACCATGGTATTACTGTGCTCAATTGGCCTGCCAACTCTCCTGACCTGAACCCCATAGAGAACCTGTGGGATATTGTGAAGAGAAAGTTGAGAGACCAAGACCCAACACTCTGGATGAGCTTAAGGCCGCTATCGAAGCATCCTGGGCCTCCATAATACCTCAGCAGTGCCACAGGCTGATTGCCTCCATGCCACGCCGCACTGAAGCAGTCATTCATGCAAAAGGATTCCCGACCAAGTATTGAGTGCATAACTGAACATGATTATTTGAAGGTTGGTGTTTTTTGTATTAAAAACACTTGTTTTCATTGGTGGGATGAAATATGCTAATTTTTTTTAGTTTTCATGAGCTGTATGCCATAATCATCAGTATTAAAACAATTAAAGACCTGAAATATTTCTGTTGGTGTGCAATGAATCTGAAATATATGAAAGTTTCATTTTTATCATTACATTATGGAAAATAATGACCTTTATCACAATATGCTAATTTTTTAGAAGGACCTGTATATTTGTTGCATGTATGATGTTGGAGTGTGAGTGTCTGATGTATGAATGATTGTGTGTTTGTTAATGTATAACTAATACAAGTTACTTTACAGATGTATAAGAGGGAAAACTAATATTCACAGCTGCCTAGTACAAGGTCACTTAATAACAGCAAATGTACACAGACTTATAAAACCTAAGGCGGAGGAAATCATCAAACATCAGGCATAAAATTGGTAAGTGACTTTTTATATTAACATGATTTTATTTAAATAACTTTTGAATACCAACAGGTACAGTTCAACCTGGGAGCCCAGACAGAAAACAGAAATCTCCACACTCAAGTTGATGTGAGTGTCAGGATTTTCGTGGCAGATCAGGACAGAAGAACCCAGTAGCGCAGGCAGGACTCAGGAGGCAGATGTATAAAATAAAATACTTTTAATAATAATAATAATAATAAATCAAAAGGCTGACATGGCAGCAAAACTTACATGGACTCAAGAATCAAGATCACACAGGCAGGACAGGACAGGCTATACCCAACGACGAACCGACAAAGGAACAACACAGGACAGGAGGCTTATATACAAGGACAAGACAAGACGTGATTACAACAGCTGTGACGAGACAAAGGTGACACCAATTAAACTGACGAGAAAAAAGACACAAACAGAAACAGCAAATAGTACCATCCTTACAGTGAGTAGATGAACACACAAAGACCTTCTCTCTGAAGATAATGTGACAGGTCAAAGATGTTTTTCATTTACCACAGTATCATGTGTGTGGATTATCATGTGGTTGTGTCTGGAACAGAGACAGACTAGAGCCTGGTCGCCTAGATAAACAGAACGACTACCAGTGTCGACTGACCTTGTTTTTTTTATTTTCTTGTAAGATTCAAAATTATTACAGGTGAAAGTGAATTAAATAAATTAGGAAACTCGAACACGTCTGTGAAATTAAACCAACCAGGGTAAAAGTATTTGGGGAATATTGTGATAAATGTATTAGTAGATTAGAAACAGCTATAATGACATATTTCTATAAATGTTAAGTGTCCTTGACAGAGAACCTTCTTTATATATTAGTTATTTATCAAAAGTATTAAACTTAAAAGACAAACAGTGATAAATCTAAGGTGTAGACTGAAAAACATTAAATAAAAATACACTTGTGATATAAAACAATTCTTATGAGAGTCCCTTAGAGACAGAAGGATGATTTAAGATGGGGAAAACAATTCAAGATTAGAGTAAACATTTAAGATAACTGATTGATGGGGAGGAGAAACTATCTAACTTGCTCCAAAAAAGTTCAATCTGGTCCTCTGGACATTCAAAAAAACAAAAAACAAAACAAAGCAAAAAAATCTAGAAACGTTTCGTCTCTCATCCAAGAGACTTCCTCAGTCTGAGGTGCTGTTTTCAGCTCAGTCTCTTAAATAGCACCTTCACAGAGTGGATCAACCAGTTTGCTGCTGACAACCAAAACCAGCTGATCACATGCTCAAGAAGGACCTATCTAACTTGCTATGAGTATATTATTTGAACAATCTAGTAAACAAAAAAATTATATATGAATGTTATGGGATAATGTTATAATAAATGAGATTGACATATCTAATAAGTATTAGACATATGATAATTTTGTTATTAACCTTGTGGTGTCCACTAGAACAGGGATAAGCGTAATATTTGTGCCTTTTTTATCTGTAGACTGAGAGAGTTTGCAGGCCGTCATGA